CCCCAGATCTAACCCCGAGCGGGGGTGATAAATTCGCAATAGCTTACCGTGATTCCCCCATCCTTCGTTTATGCACATGCATGCGATGTTGTGGTTCGCAGCATTCCATAGGAGGGTCCTACTTTGGATGGGCTTGGCGAACGCCAGCGGTTCAGCGGTTGAAACATCAAACGCACGTCGGCACTCTCGCGAGCCCGGGAGCTTGCAGCCAGGGAGAGACCGGCCTGCAGTGCGAAATACTCGGACTGCTAGGAAATGGATGCCTGGGGCGGTGCAAGCTGACAGACGACGAAGGGGCGGCGTTTGAGCAAGAGGTACGGTCTACGTTCACTGAGATCATGGAAGATCGACAACAGTAGTTATCTGTGCTAACCTCGGAATTTTTGGTTGTGGAAGCAGTGTTTATCATACGATGTTAGTTGCATAACTGGTTCAGCTGAAGTGAACTTCCCGTACGGCAACGTGTCGGCATTAGGCATGCGTCTACTAGTGCCATTAGTGCGTATGTGGGTGCGGGTGGCCTTTGCTCGAGTAACGCACTAACAACTGACGACCACTGCACCAACACACCGACCAAATTTCGATCCCGCCACGACTCCGCCAAATTGTTGCCACCCGCCAGGTTTTCGTGCGTGGCGGTCTGCTGCTGATGTGTGGGGATGGACAAGGGCGCTCGAAATTTCTCGGCACGAAGGGTTCCAAGAGCTGGTCCAAACATCCGTGCGCGTACTGCATGGTGAGTCAACGCGACGATGATACCGGCGGCGATCTGGGGAACCCAAGGTTCGACATCGACAAGCACCGCCGCACATGGGGCCAGATAACGGATGGCTTGTCCGAGTTGGATGCCCTCGCGGATGTCCCTCGCGAGCAGGATCGACGCTCAAGAGACCTGGGACTGGTTCCGCCGGATGCGTCAGGGCTCCCCCTCCCTTTATACACCGCCATGCGCATTGTCCCGACGGAGAACGTACCCGGTCGAGCGACTGCACTTCGATGCGCTGGTGAGTGATGTACACAAGTTTACCCTGCATGTGAGAAACCCCCCAGGGGACACACGTTGACGACGTCTCCAAGCGGAAGATTATACGCCGTCCTCAAGAGGTTCAAAATTCCGACGCATGCACTTCAGTAAGTAGTAGAACGACGGTTGTTGTGATCGCCCACACGATCGCTTCGTCGGCTAAGGGCTGCATTCTCTCCTTGTCTGCGCGGCATCCCACCACCGTTGCCGGCAGGGGCAAAGTCAGCTTTGCCAGGTGTTTTCTTTGAGATGCTCTCCACTACAGGTCGCCGGCTTGTCTCAGCCATCATGGCCCAGAAGCCGTCTTTACTCTACCCACCCGGAACACGGAAGCTGAAGGATGTCGTGACCAACTACNCGGCATCCCACCACCGTTGCCGGTAGGGGCAAAGTCAGCTTTGCCAGGTGTTCTTCTTGGAGATGCTCTCCACTACAGGTCGCCGGCTTGTCTCAGCCATCATGGCCCAGAAGCCGTCTTTACTCTACCCACCCGGAACACGGAAGCTGAAGGATGTCGTGATCAACTACGCTTCTCTGGATGGCAGCGACAAGTAGACACTGCAATCGATCATTCTTCTCATATTCCGGATGGTTCTCCAGGGTGTTTCGGCAATGGTGAGTACACTTTGTAGCGTAGTCGGGCATTCGTTGTTCCCGAGATAAGCCAACACGTAGTATTGCATACGATCCATGCATGTGCTCAAGAGTTATATCCCGCCGAACGGAACATCTCTCCCGCCGCAATGCTTCTTCAGTTTACAGAGCTATATACATTCGTTTTCGTACCCCTCCCTGGCTAGAGCACGAGATGCGTGACCATAACTTCACCCGGTACTCTTGGCACGTGCGCGGTGCACAGCACTCCTCCTCTCGAAATTGTGTACGCCTATCTGTTTGCAGAAGTGGAACACTCATCATTTGTGTAGCTTCGAAAGTTGTTTCGCAGAGGAATCACAGCAGTAGCTCAGATCCACACGCACGGGCGAAACTCGGCGTGCCTCACTCTAACTGCCCACGCAGAGGGTTAGCATTTTAGGTGCGTCAAAGGGCGGCACCTAACCACGGTACTGGGAGACACCTCGGCCCTTGTTCGCTGCTCTGTCATGACTCATCCCATGATGTTTACCTGCCAGAGGAGAAACATTNCGAAACTCGGCGTGCCTCACTCTAACTGCCCACGCAGAGGGTTAGCATTTAGGTGCGTCAAAGGGCGGCAGCTAACCACGGTACTGGGAGACACCTCGGCCCTTGTTCGCTGCTCTGTCATGACTCATCCCGGCCATGATGTTTACCTGCCAGAGGAGAAACATGAAGACACGGGAGATCAAGGACCTCGTCACGGAGTGGGGAACGTACGACAAGGTCTTGGAGGCGCTGCGGGAGCTTATGAAACGGGCGTCTCTCCTGTCGTTCGCCCTCCGCGCGCCATCTTTCACCGACCCGGAGCTACGGCAACTCGACAAACTCGCGCGTGACGCGGTATGTTCTGATCCTCTTTGTCAGTTCGTCCTTCTGAGGGGGACACGTTCAGTTGACTCTGCGTGCAGTTGGACAATAGTACAAGCTAGAGAGGGCACAATGGCCCGCGCCAACGGCCGCATGGCCACATCCTGTTGCTGCGTCGTCGCTCCTACAATCACACGCGGCAGTAAAGCCCCACAATACAGCTGCTTTGATAGCAAAATGCCACCGCTTGCGGGAGGTTCAAGTATTCAGCGCGGGGGCGTCGTGTTAATCCAAACAAGAACCAATCCACAAACAAGAGGCTGGGTCGATATATTTTGTTGCCGACTTTTCGCGAAACACAGAAACAACGCCCACAAAGGTTGAAATGGAAAACACCGTGCCTTGGACGCCCACGACTTTTACGTCTACATCGGGCGATTGCCCATTCTGGTTGCGTCAGAGAGCTGAGACACGAGTTTGGTGCGCTAAAACACCCCTGCGGTCTTGCGTCAAAGCGACGGTGGGCCATTTCTGGTTGGTGGTATTAGCTGGGCGTGGAGCCATGGCCAAGTTCTTTGATGTCTTGCTTTGGTACCTATACACGACATATGACGTGGCCCAAACAAAAAAAAAACAAATGCGTACAGCAGAAAAAGTTCATGACAACACAATACAGGACACTTTTCATCCTCACCAGTGTTCAGACTTTTTACAAAACGTTTTCGCACCTCATGCTCCAGAGAAAGTAAAGAGTATGGCAAGCAAATGACTCGTGACGTTTTCGCCTTTCAGGTGGAAGTCTTTTCCAAAGTAATGGGGAGGACGGGATCGCGGCCCACCATACACTCCATCCTACATGCGGTAGAGGCGATTCGTCTGCACGGTGAGAGCGTTTCGAATGTGGGTTGTGGATCGTGGGTTGGTTGGCCTCGTTGAACGCCATTCGCTGGATCCTTGCGGCTAAGAACACCGCCGACTGACACGATGGGCATTGCGGGGGGAAGGAAGAGGGGGGGGGGGGGGCGCCACTCACCCACCACTCAACCAAGCATTTTGAATATGCTTCACCGTCCATGTTTATCTGAAAAATGCACTCACGCCGAGCTCGTCACGTGACCTCTCGCTGCCTGCATCACACGTTGAACGAAACGTACAGGAATATGTCCGGACGCCAGCACGGGTGAACACACCCACCAGGTGAACAAGTCTGGAAGGGGTGTGGACTGCGGTAGGAGCCCTTCACTGCACATGGCTAAGCGGGCGAACGTCAACAGCGCATTCTTGGCGTTATCGAACGGGGTGCCGTACAGAGTCACCAAGTACAACCGACAGACAAAAATTCACGAGATCGTCACCGTTCGACCTGGTGATGGCTGTGTGCGGCTCATGCAGTCGCTGGCGAGCTTCCTCGGCCATCACCGCGTGCCCACAGACATTCACGCCGAGGCGGTTCAGACGCCAGCACAGCTTAGCGGACAGTACCCGGGATCTGCGGTTTGGACCGCTTCTCTGTTCAACAACGGGGACGAGCAGCAGCTAGATGGCGACTGGCGTCCTCGCCTGGTGTCCAGCAAGTTCCGCCCAGACGAACAGACCTTACTGCGCGCATACCAGACGTACTACGGATGCGGCATGGCGGGTCCGTGCTCAAGCAGCCGCTGCCCGAATTGCTGGGACGGAGACACCCTTCAACAAGCTTCCATCGACTGCTCCCGGTACATCCGGGCACCCATGGTAGCAAGTTGTGGCCTTGGTCGCTTGAAGGGCGGCGATGTGAAGTCGGCGGCGCAGGCTGGGCCGCGTGACGAGTGGGCTCTCGGGAGTGGCGGAGGGGACAACGTAGAGGTGTACAAGCAACTTCCCCCGATGCCCGCGGCGGGCCGTGCGGATCCTACAGATCTAACCCTGGTGAAGGTTCTGTACTTCTTCCGGCACAAGGCCAATCGGCCTTTGATGGGTGGGAACCCACCACCGCTCACGTGGTGGGTGCTCGGTTACGAGTACACTGGGGTTGCTCACGCCAACGACCGCGTCCCCGATTCTATCACCGGGCATCCGACGCTGAACCTTCGAGCCCGCGGCCGTCCGGCGGTGTACCCTGTATCTGCCATCTATGGGCAGGTTCATCTCTACCACGCATGCTCGCTGAGCGGCGAAGGTGAAACTGGCAGCTCTCACGTTTGTGGGGTAGTGACGGGCGGGGAAGGGTCGGGTCGTGGGGCTGGTGCTTGGCGCCACAGATTCCGCCAGGCTACGCCGGGTACCACCGGGTGTGACAAGTACCTTTTGAATGAGTGTCATCACTCCATCAACCAAGACACTTTCGTCTGAGAACGTCGGGCGTGTCAGAGCCGAGAGAGGTGAGTTTGAATAAATTGGTGGGTACAGAACCTTGGATCGCTACTCTCCCGCGTTCGCCTTCGCCGGATGTATGTACATTTCTATGATTTTCCCCTCGGCTCTGACTTGACGGCCTCCAGTACACCCCGCTTGCTTGCCTTGCGCAAGAAAAGGTGGCGGTGCGGTCCGGGCGGGCGGCACAGGGTGATGGCTACAGCGGTAGGGCGATAGGCCGGCTCACGGACATCACGCGATGGACGGGCTGCAGCCTGGAGAGGCATAAAACAGCCACCTNTAGGGCGATAGGCCGGCTCACGGACATCACGCGATGGACGGGCTGCAGCCTGCAGGGGCATAAAACAGCCACCCCGATATCATGAAACATTGACTAAATTATACGTGTAGGATGTAATGCGCCTACTTCGTCCTCTGTTGGAGAGTCAATACTTCAATATGATAGGAGAATGGTGGGGATGATTGCCGACGGATACGCACATGCGCGGGCAGGGTGTGACTTGTTGCTTTTTTCGCCAAAAGCAAGGACAGATTCAGTACTGCTGTTTGATTTAGTCTACTCCGTATAATAGGCAATTAATTATTGTTCGCCGGCCGCGGTGTTGCCTCTTTATTGTGTGTGCTCTGTCTCGTGTGTCCGACCTAAAAATAACGGCGGAGGCACGCGCGCGCAATCGCGCGGCATCCAACGAAAACTACATGTGTATGTCTATGTGTGTAATGACTTTCAGAACACTACACTGCACGGCGGAAGTAAATGGCGTACACCTCTCCGACTCGGCACGGCGGGGGGGTGCCGCCCTCGCCGCGGCGCTTTCCAAAAAAAAAAAAAACGCGTTCTCATCGTCAGCGCCCACTCCGTATACTGTTTGCAGTATGTAGTTACATTGCTGTTGTGTCCCCGACGACCGTTTGTCCGTCTACAGGCACACATGTTTAGTCTCTGTTTCGAGCGAGTGTGCGGGTGTACACCATCGTGCCCGGACCCACCTCTAGCCAGGGTGTCGCAGTATTTGACCTTGTCAGGCTTTGCCGGCCGAGGGTACCCGGCCGTGTGTGTCCAAAAGATAGAAAATTAAAAAATGTGTTTGTTGTGCCGCACATCGGTCCATAAGTGCCGTTTCCTCGGTGGTGAGGTACCTCTCTGTCTCCTTTTCGCGCGAACATGCTGGTACACCATCGTGCCCAGACCCATATCTAGCCAGGGTGTGGCAGTGTATGACCTTGTCATGGATATGGACACTGCCACGGTGCGACAGGGTCTTATACAGGGTCGATTAGCCCACAAGGTCGTAGCAGGGTGAGCCGAATGGCTACGGGTGTAAGGGCGCGGACGAAGGCAAGATGCAGCAGCGACAGATTCCAAACGCCCTGGCACACACAATACATGAAGAAAACACCTAGCTCTCATCCCGCGCCAGGCGCCCTCTTGCACCAGCGAGAGCAACAACCATATCATAGCACCATATGAAAAAATAAAGTAATGTGAGACATGGCGAGCGGGATATTTCTCCGCCTCCTCCGTCAAAGCTTCGACTCGTTGTGGAGGTCGTGAGGACCTGAGAAAACGCTTTGAACGATGTTGCAGCGGAGGTCCCGGCGACTCGACCTGGAGGTTACCGATCAGCAGCGAAAAAATATTGAAGTGTGAGAGGAGGGTAATAGTGTTCCGTCGAAGAATAGAGGGCATGCTCTCCCCCTATGCAGCAGTATGATTCTTGGTATAGCTGACAGATGTACATAGTCAACAATAATACTTGCAAGCAGGCCTGGGGGGAGGGGTGGGGTGGGGGGTTACATAGTCGTGCATGCCGTAGTCGTTAGACCATTGACCTCGCATCCCTACAAAGCCGGGACAGAGCACGCCGGGTTCTCACCGGACCAGACTCTCACATCACCAAGGGCGAAACGCCGTAAAATATTCGGCGAGTCGCATGAAGGGTGCGCTGCATCCTGCTAAGGGTGTTCGGCATCTTGTGCTTCTTCCTTGCGCACGGATGACAGCTGCGTATGACATAAATTAATTTCTGGTGCTTTCACATCCAGAGACAGTTGTAAGAACTGTGTAACTGCCTCGAGGATGCGTGACCATTTTATCACAACGTGGTGCGATCATCCCTCCTGTGCGGAGTGAGGATTGTCCGCCCCGCACAACATGATCTACTCGACCACCGTTATGGTTACCGCCAAAAAAAAAAAAAGAAAAAAAAAACGGTGACCTGGTTGCCGAGTTCACGAATTGAATTGGCTTGTTATACCACGTCGTTGCCACGAAAACCCAATCCTGAACACTGGGGGGGGAGAGAGGGGCACACACCGACAGCATATCCGCAGGTCGTAGAATACGTCTGAGTCGAGGATAAGCGACGCACCCCCGCAAAAAAAAATTGAATGGAGGCGAGGTACATTCAAACATCAGGGGTCCCCAACGGACACACTGGGATGAGGAAGGGTGTACATTATAGGGAACCGCGGGCAAAACGGATGCACGACACGAAACACGCAAGCATCCAACATCATCGCACGCACAGAGAACGAGGCAGAAAAAGTGGCACGATTTTTGGCAAGGACAAGACACATGACATGCCATGTCGACACGGTTCAGGTGTCGGCCAAGGCTTTGTAGCCAGCGTAATCATCAGGAGCATCGCTTTTCTCGCTCGGAGACGAAGAACATCCCCGTCTCCATCTCAAGTTTACCCTCCACCCCCATCCGCCCCTGGGTCACCTCCTCCACCTCCTGCCCCCTCGTCCGCGAACAAGCACGCACGTCTTGAGGTAGCGCTTAGCGTCGTCCTGACGATCAACACTCTCGGTGGAGAGGATCGGCCCAACGTATTCCAAGCCGAACCGCATGAGGCTCTCCTAGAACCTGAGACACGAAACAAAGAACAAAGAGCGTTCCATGTGAATACCAGTTTGTTTGACGTCACGAGGTCATACAAAAATAGCTTACGACAAACCACCAGCGCGTTGACTGCCTAAGAGCAACGTAAGGGCACACTGAAAACATGGGGAAATGATTAGTAAGGCTGGTAACGCGTCAGGAACAAAAAACGAGAGTGAGTGTTGGACGTTCACCAGAGCTTGAACGTCCAATGAGAGCTTATCGGCCTGACGAATTGCCGACAGTACACCAGGGGAGACAGGTTAGAAGAATACGTCAAAGACAACAAAAACCCTAGCCCCACAGAGCTTGGCTCACATTTCAAAACAACAGCAACGTACATGTCGCTCATGGCGCTCAAGTTTTTTCACCGCCGCCGCCCTTCGCAGCAAACGAATTTCCGGAAAAAGCCTCACACACGCGGAAGGTACGGCAACACCGTCGTGGTTGGGGTCGCCCTTGTTGCCGAAGTGTAGCCTGGAGTGCCCATCTTCGTCTTGATATCCGCGAGTTCTGCTGCTCGAGCACCTTCGAATGATGCCAATCCATACCGTGAGAAGGGGAGGGAATGGTGCTTGGCGGGCAAGGGGCTGGATAGATGGATGCAACAGAGCAAGGGTGACAGTAGATGGCCTGGAATTTGCACCGGAAACAGCAAGCAGGAGGGCGAACAGGACACCAGCAGCAGCTATCCTCGCTGTAAAGTCGTACATGGGGATTAAAAAATTCAAGCGTCATTACCACAGGGAAGCGACGTTAACATTTCAAGGACAACAACTCTTCGTCCCCGGCGCTGTTACCTAGCATCATGAGATGTTGGCTACTTGCACACTAAAGTCTGACTATCGGTTCACCTTGCGCCACCCTCCTGTCTTGCACTACATATATATGTGGGCTAACGCTACAACATGCGAGACCCTCAAACCAACAGCAGTACCGGTGCGCGTGCGTCAAAACTCTCTACTCCTTCCACAAGCAATGCATCGCGAGGAATAGTTGCCTGCACGTGCCCCCGTTCCGGCCCTATATTGTATGCATACGCTTTGGTTGAGTCTCATAAGTGAAAGAATGAACAACTCTTGAAAGAAGGTGCTCCATCGTTTCTTCCGTTTAAATTCAAATAGGAGCGAAATTACTCAAAACGTGCGTGGAGCTATGCCGGCGTGATCGACGATGTTATGCACGACTCGTACAGCAGGTGCGGTAGCAGACCTTCATCAGTCCTCGGTGGACAGAGGTGTCGGGGGTCGGGACATGAACTTTCCATCATACTTTGTTTTTCACATCACTGGGCACCATTTCCGAACAAAATCTCGCATTTACTACGGAGAGTTCACTTAAGCCGACCGTACCTGAACTATGGGGTGGTGCGCTTGCATCGGTGGACTTGATTGAAGGTCACGCTCTGCATGGCCTCATCCTCTGACACGGGCCGTGGTTGGCTGGCCCTTGAACCTTCGAGAGCATAACGGTATCAAGCCCACTCACGACGGTATCCGTCTACACAGTACGACAAAACGGGGGGGGGGGGGGGGGGGGGG